TAACTTTAATCGTTTATAATTTGAAAAGTTTTATAGCCTCGACATTTTTGTATTAGGATTTTCGTCTCAAAATTATCTTAGGAACACGTTCTTAAAAGGAAATCCGGTAGAGGCGGGACACCCTGTATACATATCGATCGTTGTTGTTCAGCTACAAAAGCGGCACCATAAAATTAATATAAATACGGTTAATTAAGATTAAATAAAAATCAGCTAAAAGAGCAATAAATAATTATAAAAATAATTGCTTAATATTATATAAAAAAATGTTAATAATTATTATTAATTTAAAAAATTATCTAAAAAATATTGTAATACAAAATAAAATAAATAAATTTGTGTATTTCTCTCTCTCTCTTTTGTGCTGCATAAATAATAAATTAATTTAAAAATAAATAAAATAATTTAATAAATTGATTTTAATTAATTCATTTATTTATTAATAATGTACAACAATTATGCAAAAATTGTAACATTGCTTTACTTAAAAAAACTAATGTAACAATGACCAAACATATACTAATTTTTCAATTATTATTATTTAAGTTAATAATAATAAGAAAGTTACAAAGATTATGAATTTTAATATTAAATCCATACACATCAAAAATACATACTACTGAAAATGTTTATAAAGTTAACAGTGCAATTTTTTATGGAAACATAAATAATGAATATTACACAAATATATTGCAAACTAAAGGTACAAAATGGACATCCGTAAATAATTTGAAAGTTGAGACATGTCCATGGCCTCAAAATGCTAAGAGTATATATACATATTTTTCTTAAAATAAATAAATGAATAAAAAAATTAAATCAATAAACTATTGAAATTGAGAGAAAATATATTAAATTAAAGTAACAATTTTATAAATAATAATGTGTTTATTTTTAGAAAATTTAAATTTTATTATAATTTAATAAAAAACAGTGAGATCCCATAAAAAATCTTTTTAAAAAAGGAAAAAAAACGGAAAAAATATACGCCAAGTACATAAAAAATTTTGCATATTACATTCTTTCTAAAACTAAGAACAATTTTTTGAAATTTAAATATACTATTTAAAAATTGATTGATCAAAAATAGTCGTGAAATCAATAAAATTAGCCATATTATTTTAAAAAGCCAAGTTATTAAACTAATTATTTAAAAAAGACCTTAAATAGCTTATTTTATATTTGTGTAAAAATTCAAAAATTTTAAAAATGGAAAAGTGATAAACTGGATTATAATGAAGAAAAAACTTGGTGTGCTTGGGTCGCATTAAAATGCAATATTCCACATGTTTTATAGTATATAAATTATTCGCAGATATACACAAACATGAAACTAATAGTCAGACAAAGTGCCCGGAACGCATGAAAACGCAATGTTCCACAATCAATGATTTATAGTATATAAAATATTTGTAATACAAATAAATATACATATATAAAAATATTGTATTATTACATACAATAGTTGCGGATATACACAAACATAAACGCAATAGTTAGATAAAAAAGTATATACATATTGATATTATTTTTATATAAATTTACATATTGTTTAATACGGAAATGCAATTAATGCGACCCGGGCACGCCAAGTTTTTTCTCTATTATAATCCAGTTTATCACTTTTCAAATTTTTGATTTTTTTCACAAATAAGTTTTTTGAGGTCTTTTTTAAATAATGAGGCTAATTTAATAACTTGATTTTTTGAAATAACTTGGCTAATTTTATTGATTTCACGACTATTTTTGATCAATTTTTAAATAATTGTATATTTAAATCATTTCAAAAAAATTGTTCTTAGTTTTAGAAAGAATGTAATATGCAACATTTTTTATGTACTTGGCGTATATACCTATATATTTTTTTAAAGATTTTTTATGGGATTAAATGTATTTTGAAATAAAATGTTTTAGAGAAAACATAAAATTGCAAAATTAACATAGATACATACATAGATATCAACTTAGAGGGGGGACAGAGCACTTTTCGCCCCCCCATTATTTTATTGGGGAAGGGCGATGTTTCCCTAATCATTTTTACCTTTTTTAATAAAAAATTTTTTTACAATTGCAAACAATTTCTGCGACCAAAACAACTACAAAAAAGCATCGACCAGGCGATACGCAATATAACATTGGCATAGCGAACTGAAACTGGCGCGTCGATTACTGTTCGTGATCAGCGTGCCTATAACGACGATATAAGAATAATTCCGCTCTTCGCCGTATAATAATTCAAATATCTAACATAAAAAAATATTTATTTAATATATTGTAGATGTTTATTTCTTAATAGTGTTAGCAAAATGTAAAATTGACTTTGACTATTAAAAAAAGGTTATTATTTGAAATGCTTTCGCTTTGCCCCCAACATTTTTTTCCAACTCAGCGCCTATGGGTACATAGCAATTGCGTATACATGTAAAACTTATGATGACTTATAATATAAACATGATGTTGGATTTTACATACAACAGTGCAAGCGGACAATTTAATATTACGTAAAATTATAAATTTTTTTCTATTTCTTTGTAATTAGACACAGTAACCAAAAAGTAGTTACGATAACTATTGATGGGACAAATGGAGCCACAACCTAGTTATACATCGCCACCATACCCTTATCCACAACCGCCGCCATCAATGCCACCACCATCACGTAAGTGTAAAATTATGAAAAAGAATCTTAAATACAAAGTAGGCCAAATACATGATACAATCGGAAAAAAATGATTCTATATATGGCTCGAAATAGGTCGAAATAATAAAATAATTTTGTTCGAATAAGGCTTCATCGTTTTCAAACAGACTTCGAAAATTAATCGAACTTAATTAATATTTGATATAACAATTTTCATTACAGACTTGTTCAAAACTAATTCAATTAGCTGATTAAAATAGACGAGTGAATTTTTATGAGATAAAAAATAATTTTATTTCTTACTTATAGCCGAATCATTAAAAATGTTGATCATTTTGTTGTATACAAAGTGGTATTATGCGAATTAAATTAGACTCGATTATTTATAACGTATTGTATTCTTTTAATTTTTCAAATATACATGCGTATGTATATGATTAATTTTTAAAGTCCTATTTCTCGAAAATAAGACTTTACTCGAAAAAAAATTTTTTATCATTATTCTATCATTACATATTTTAAGGTGTGGAATCATTTTTTTTCTCAGCTATTGTTATTAATCCATCTATAATTATATATTGTAGAAAGCGAGTAATATATTTATGCTAATCAATAAATTTATACTAATCTGAAAGTATAATGCTATTAAAACTTAATGTGTTTAATTTATGACAACCAGATACGGTACATGTTGTAACGGGTGTGGCCTTTAACGTGGAAAGTCAACATATGACCTGTCCACACTGTCATGCTAATATATCTACGCGCGTAGAGCCAGAAGCGAACATGAAGACACATCTGATGGCGGGACTTCTTTGTTTGTTTGGGTAATTATGTATAATTTTATAATTTTTTAGAAAATTTCATATATTTTTTATTTAAAAAATTCAAATGAACATAAAAGAGCTATGAGAGGAGAGTCAACACTAAATCGATGTTCATGCAATAATTCTTGGATTTATATAATAGCGATTTTGGCTGGAATGCATCGATTACATATTTCGAGTGTTGTGTTTTCGGCTGGTCGAATAATGCAGTCCCTCGCCAATACCACGTGTTTGTTTGGACTCGCGTATAAACGTAACATTAAAAATGTAAAAAAAGACCGCCAAATATATTTTTTAATGTTTTTACCTCGAAAAAATTGTTTTATAAAAAACAAAAAAAGCCAAAATAATGACATAAAAAAGAAGTAAAATCAAAATGTTATTTCAAGTATATTGATTAGAATAATCAATATCGTAAAGTATATCTCGAAAACAAAATCAAATTATCAAATAAAACCCAAGTGATACTATCTTATTTTTATGCATTAAAACATAAGTGGTATTAGTATATTTCAATATGACATGAAAGAAATTTCATTACAAAAAATTAAAAAGTATATGTATATATATTATAAAATACGGAGAACATTTAAAATATAAAAAATATAAATAGCGACA